AAATATTGCTGGGGCATCTGGGTGGCTCAGTTAGTTAAGTGTCTGACTCTTGGTTTCAGCTCAGGTCATGATCTCAGTTTCGTGGGTCTGAGCCCCCGCGTGGTGCTTGCACTGTCATTGGGGAGCCTGCTTGAGATTCTCTGTCTCCCTCTCTCTCTGCCCTACCCCCCACTCGCGCTGTCTGTGTCTCTCAAAATAAATAAATAAACTTTAAAAAAAATATTGCTATGGCCGCACCTCACAACTTCTGGTATTATTCTCCTTATTATTCAGTTCAAAATATTTTCTATTATTATTATTTTTGATTTAGGTCCATGAGCATATTTTGGTCCATGTATATGTGTGTGTGTGTGTGTGTGTGTGTGTGTGTGTGTGTGTGTATAAAGATATACACACACACACACACACACACACACACGTATGTATCTTTTTCAGGCAGGATCCACACCCAGCATGAAGCCCAACAGGGGGCTTGAACTCACAACCCTGAGATCAAGACCTGAGCTGAGATCGAGCCAGATGCTTAATCTATTGAGCCACCCAGATGCCCCTTTGCTCAATATATGTTTTTTCTATCTTACTTTTGATCCTTCTGGAAATCTTAGCAAGCATGGCAAAAAAAAAGAGAGAGAGATTCAAAAAAGGAAAAAAATACTGTCGTATTTGCATCTGATAGGACCATAGGACTATGTAAGTAGTGAGATCAGTAAAAAAAAATTAAATAAATAAAAAATAATGCTATTTATGAATATACTGCATAAAAACATGACACACCTAGAAATACCTTCAGCAAAACTATGCAAGATACTTATGGAGAAAATTATAAACTTTGGAAGAAATTAAAAATCTAAAGAAAACCTAAACAAATAGATAGAATATTGTCTCCAAATTGATCTGTGGTTCAATGTAATCAAACAAAACCCTACCTGGGTGTTAGTAAAACTCTACAAATCAATTCTAAACTGTATTTAGAATTACAGGGGCCAAGAATAGCCATGACATTCTTGAATAACTACAACAAAAAGGGGTTAGAGGAATAGCCTCACCAGAGATCAAGCCATATTATTAAAAATGTTCACACCATACACAATAATTAAATCCCTGTGGATTTATGACTTAAATGTAAAAAGCAAAAATCTAGTGCTTTCAAAAAACAAAATAGAAAATTCTTATGACTTTGAGATAAGAAAGGATTTCTCAAACAAGAAACACAATTCATAAAAGACTAACTTGATAAGACTAGACAAGTAAACAACTATTTATCATGACAGTGAAGGAAGTGAGGAGACAAGCCACAAGCCAGAAAAGATATTTGCAGTACATATAACTGACAAAGGATATTAGGCAGATATACAAAGATCTCCTACAAGTCAAAAGACAACCCAAGTCACTTCAAAAAGAAAAAAAAGTCTAATCACCAATAACATATATGAAAAGATGTTCAATCTCATTAGTGTTCAGGGAAATGGAATATTAAAAACACTGAGTACGTTTATAATCTTGTCAAAATGCTTGCGATTCGTCACAATAGTTAGTCAAATACAGATGATCATATCTGCATGCTTCACATCTCCTCCCTTGGTCATTTCTCTATCATTACATTTACTATGTGTAAGGTTTTGTTTGTTTTGCATACAAGTGTTGGTTCACAAACAAATGATAATTAATGTCCCTTATTCTCTCATCATAGAACCTTCATCAACTGGGGGGGGGGGGGTGTAGCCCCAGTTGTGTGCTCTGCTTCTAATGGACCTCTGGTGCTTTATGTGACCTCTCTTCCCAGATTATTTTACTTCACACTTGAGTTGATTGAACTAAGTGAGTTCTAGAGACATTCCATCACCCCCACCCAATAAGTGTACATTGATTCTCGATGTACATGCTTTCTCAAGACTTTCTTTTTCACTTACTCTTTCATTCATTCTCTCACCAAATATATTTCCCTTAATCTTGTATACTAGGCATGGGAGACATGAAAATAGACACAACCATGTCTGGTCCCTAGGGTCTGACAATAGTCCAGGGTAAAGAAAAAGTGAACAAGTCACAGCAATGCAGCAAGTGCTACGACTGAGGTACAAAGGGGGCTGCTTGGACAGAGGAGGGAACGTGTGCACTGAGACTGAAGGACAGAATTTGGAGGCGGAGGGAGCACAAGGCATGAGGAAAGAGATTTCCAAGCAGAGAGACTTGTATGGCCAAAAAATCTAGAGAGGAAAAAAAAAAAAAAAGGCTTTGGGGCTTTATAGAGAGTTCAGCATGGGAAAATGGCAGGCCTCATGTTACACAGGAACTTGGAAATTATCCAGTAGCAACATGGTATCTTTGGGCAGAGAAGTGGTACAACACTGGAATTTACAAAGATGACTCTGGGCACATTGTGAAGGAAAGAATGGGATACGGAACTAGGAAACAAGAAGGAAAAAGTAGAAAGACCAGTTAGAGGGTTATTATAATTGTCTTGCATTAGATAGAAATGATAAGAATCTGAAATAAAATATTTGACAACTGTCATTGTGTCACAATGATAGGACCCACCACCCAAGAGTAGCGGTTGAAAGAGAAAGGAACATCAAGAATGACTCCTGGGAGAAGTAAAGAAGATATAAAGTAAGGCTGTATCAGTGAAAGTGGAGAGGAAGAAATTAATTTGAGGAACGTTACAACTCTCTGAATGACAAGCTTCAGGGGCTGAGGAAGAAGGAAAAGGAAGACGCTTCTGTTTTTGGCTTGGACTAATACGGGGGTTGGGAGATCATTAACCAAAATGGGAAAAACAGGTGAGGTGGATCTTGAGGGGGAAGAAAAATTGTTAATTTTTCAGCACATTGGATTGGAGGTGCCTGAGTACCATCCTGAGTAAGAAGTGTAACAGTTCTGGAGCTAGCAAAGAGATTAGAATTGGAAATAATAAGGCCGGTGTGTCTGACACTATTGTAAGTGCTTAATGTGCTTTGTGACAAGCCTATCTTCGAGACAGGTATTAGTGTCATCCCGACTTTACAGATAAGAAAAAACCCTAGGCACAGAGCACTTAAAGTAACTTATCCAAGTTACTTATCCAAGTTACCCAGGGTCACCATTTGGGTAAGTGCTGTAGGCAGGATTTGAATCCTGATAGTCTTGATTCCAGAGCCTTTCACTTCACAGTGTTCACCTGTGAGTCATCAGAAGCACAGACTCAAGTTGAAGGCATGAGAGAGTATGAGGCATGCAAGGGGGACTAAGGGACGGGTCCCAGGAAACCCCAATGCACAAGGGAGGACAGAAGAACAGGGGATCAGAAGACTGAGGATGGCCTTATGGAAGCCAGAGGGAAAGCAACTTTTGGGAAACAAGAATAGTGTCATTTGATGCAGATATTCAAGTCAGACAGCAGAACCTGACACGTTCTCACCTTTCTCAGGGAGAGTAGGTAGTTTCCCAAGAGGCCAGGGCTAGGTTGTACTGGCTTGAGGAGAAAATGAGATGAAGTGAGAGCTCGAAAAAGTTAAGCTGTGAAAAGAATGAGGAGTCAGGAGGTTGCTGGAGTGATACAAGTTTGGGGAGTTTGTTTTGTTATAAAGATAGGATTCTAAGCATTCTTTCATACCACTTTATTAATAAAAAGTAAAATTCGTGAAAGTTTGCAAAAGACTTAAAATTGTAACACTAGACTTGGGAACATCTTTTTCTTGGTTGGATTTTTTTTTTTTAATTGAAGTATAATTAGCATACATGTTATATTATTTTCTGATATACAACAAATTGTTTTGACAATTGTATAGGAAACATCTTACATGCAAAGCAGTTTTTGTACACTGCCTCCCACCAGCACATCTTGAGCTTCTGGTCACCCCCATTAGGCTCTACTGGGCCTATATTACCAATTGGCAGGTGTTTTTCCCTGGTTCTAGACATGCCAACCTTTCCTCAGATCTTCAAACACACTAAGCTCCTTGTCATCTCAAAAGTTGCTTTGTTTGCTTTAACTTTCTTGCAAAGTTTCCTTTGTCTGGAAACTCTTGCCTTATCTTGCACATGGCTGGCTTCGTCTTCTTCAAAGCTGCTTTTACAGAGAAGACTTCCCTGACCCATCTATGGAAGTCATACTCCTACTTAATTCTCTATCACGGAACTTTTTTTTTTTTTTTCCATTCATAGTACTCAATTGAATCTGCAACCGCTTTACTTGCTCACATTTCATTGGCTGTCTCTTCCACTAGCATGTATGCATCATGATGGCAAAGATGTCTGGCTCCTTGGCCTCTGTGTCTTCAGCCCCTAGAGTAGTTCCTGGCAAATAACACGTCTTCCGTAAATATTAGCTGAATGAGCTATACAATCCGTTTTCTCCCACTATCACCCTTCTCAACTGGGATCAAGCACGCTGTTTCTTAACCCCAAGGCCTTTTCTTGCTGTACTGACATATATAATCACAAGGGCTAAACTAACATTATTGCACTTTTATTAGATACCAGAGTCTGCGCTATAAGCTACATTTGTATCATTTCACTTACATAAAACCCTCATACAGATACATACTTTAAAAATAATCTCTATTGCACAGGTAATGAAACACAGGAGGTTGTATAACTTGCCGAAGTTCGCAGAAGTGGTGGAGCCGTAACCAGAATCTACTTCTAACTTCAAAACAAACCAAGGACGGGACACTGCTCTCTTCAAGTCAGAGTACATAGTCTGGTTTGGGAAGTGTCTGTTTTACACCTGCTCTACACAGGCCACATCCTAATCATAATAAATTAAAGTTTCACCACCTCCCTCTCGCCCTTCCCACTGGCTCGATGGAAGGAGAAGACAGCGGGGAGCTGTGGAGAACTGTCCTGAACTTTCAAGTCCCGGCTTCTCCCAAGGAAGATGCATGTAAGGAGAAGAGACCCGAGCGTTAGCAACTTGTATCTCAGCACTGAGGCAGCGGTAACCCGGAGCCTAACAAGCGACTGCCGAATTTTGGAGCAGAAGCAAAGTCCCGCACTGCATCAGTGGCCACAGCGCTTACCTTAACTGCCACCTCCGGAGCCGAGTCCACCGCCACTGCCAGAGACGGCTTGGCCGAAGCTGATTTAGTCAAGTGCATGAGGGAGTCGGAAGCTGGCAGTGAACACCGTCCACCCTCACTGTCCGAGTCCGATTCGGACCCTGAACCCGAACCATAGGACGCAGCCAAAGATGCAATCGCAGCCGACATGACTGCAACCGATCCTCTGCGGAGACCAGGCCCCGGCGGAAGAAGCGGCTTCCAGGTCCTGACAGATTAGCATGACACACATTACTTACTTCCTTTGCTAAGAGTTCATTTACGACGTCTTTAAGCTATAATCAATTAGTATTTGAATAAATATAAGAGAACGCAGAATACGAAAATGTTTATCTAGGGAAGTAGAGAGAATTGTGTTACCTTATAACTTTCAGGACCTATTCGGCTGGATTGAAGACTACGAGTTCCGAAATACCCTGAGGTCACGAGGTCCAACACTCCCGGCGTTCAGCGCGGCGGGAAGTGGAAGAGGCATAATGGGAAGTGTAGTTTGGTGAGAGGGGCGGGGCGAACTGGGCAGGCCTCTCTTTGACCACGCCCCTGAATGGATGGTTCATTCAATTGGCTATCATCTTCCCTCACTCCCAGGCCAAGCACTGTTCTCTCAGTCCCCTTCCCCCAAATTGGAGATTGGGCAATACCATACAGCCTCAGGAAATGGGGGGGAGAGCCGTATTCATTCCCTCTGTTGGGTGAGTGGGCGGAGGCTGAGTTTTCCACCACGGCTGCACCTGGGCTCTGGGAGCTGAAGAGGAAAGTGAGAATCTTAAATTGGAAGACCTTGAGTGGTGGAGAACAGCTCCTGATGGAAAGGATGGGAGATTAGGTGGCGAGGTCCAGCGGTTCCCCCTGCTTCAGGAGCGGATCTCCGCGCCCAGTTGTGGAGCGTCGCGCGCGGGGAGGGGGCGGGTGGGGGGCGGCGGCGGCTCGCGGTGTTGTTCGCTCGCGCGTCGAGCACACGGTGGGTCCGGCGACCGGCGGGCGCCGCAGGCGGCGTTCCCGATAGCCCGGTGCCTGGGCCGCTGCCCGGAGCGGATTCCACTCTGGAGCCTGTCGCTCCTGGAGGCTCTAGGTGGAGTCCCGGGAGCTGAAGGGGACCGGCGGCCGCCGCCGAAGCATGAAGAAGGGGTAAGGCAGGAGCCCCCCATGATTTCACGGTGAGCGCGAGTCTCTCAGGAATTGTTTTTTGGTGGGGACAGGGTGCTGGGAGAGGAACTCTTTCTCACTGGCCAGAACGGATGGAGGTGTGTGTGGCGCTCTTGCCCGGCAAAGGTGACGGGGATGGGCGCGCCTCCCCCGCGCCGGCCCCCACCCCCATTCGCGGGTTTCCAGAGCTCTGGCCGCCCACCCGCCTGCCGGGCTGGGTGCCGAGGCAGACGGCTGGCCGGCGCGCCTGGGTCTCGGTTGCAGGGACCGCCCGATGCTGCCCTAGGCGGGGAGACTGCGGGTCTCACCTGGGGTGCCACCGCCTGAGCGTCCCTGCCCCGTCGGCCACCCCCATGCCGCCTCGCTCTGGGGGCGGCTGCAGCACCGGGTGGCAGCGAAGCCCCCGCTCGCGCTACGTGCGGGAGGCTCCGTAAAGCCGGCTTGTGTGCGTGTTTGCGCCGCGCGTCTTCATATTACAGCCATAAAGGTACAGCGAGTGCGGGGATCCCTTTCTTCCCCCGAAGGGAGGTGGGGGGGGCGAAGCGGGGCGGTCGCCTCTGATGCCTGGTAATGGGGGAGTGCCTGGGGCAGAGTTAGGGAGCCGCTTACTCAGCTCCGTTGTCGGCAGGACTCGCCCATTGTGCCACCCAGATAATTATTCAACTATGCAGCATCCATTGCACCTTTCCCATTTTTCTTTTCCCCTTGCTACAGCATGCCCCCTAGCTTCGGTACTCTGACGCCTTCTCTTGCTTGCACTTGGCGGATGAGGAACTGGAATAATGATGAAAAGAAAGCACATCTGACCTGAACATTAACAACCTGTCCTAGAGCCGATTAATTAACTAATCCCCAGCTAGACTAGGTACTTTAATACGACTCAGTCTAATCCTATTCTTTTCTGTATAACGTGTGCTTTGGATTATGATTTAATTTTTTCTTTGGTGGTAGATTCACCTATTAGTTAAGTCTTATTTTTTTGTCCGGTAATTTATTGGTTATTCAACCCATCTAATGTTCCTAAATTTAACATATGTGATAGGTAACTTTCATCTTTCTAATTGTTGATAGCACTGTATCATAATTACAAATGCAGTCTCTCTTTGAACTCTCAGGAACAGTTTTTTCCGTATCTAAGTTTCTGTTAGGAAAGTATTTTTATTTATGGCGGATATTTGAATAAAGTACTCATTCAAGTTTTGAATGAGAAAAGTTTTGTATTTCTTTATTTTTCAGTAATGGAATATTTTACTGGTAATCATAGCCTTCAGTTGAATGAAAGGAAGCATCTAATATTTTAGGTGGGGTTTTAACTCCATAATGAGCATTCGCTAATTTCTCTAAATTTTTTTTCAGTCTTTGCCATATCATGTATTAATTGTTAAGAATTTTTCTCATTTTTTTCGAACTTCTTTCTACGAGGATGGGCAGGCTCCAATTTTGCATGATCTACCTGAAAGATGAAATATTTTTTGAAAACAGAAGAAACAACTGTTGGTTACTTGATTATTATGTTTAAAACTGTTTGCCTTTCATTACTTAAAAATAAATGATTCACTACCAAAAATAAGTGTTCCTTTTTTTTTTTTTTGTAATCCTCCCCTTCCAGCTTTTCTCCTTTAAGCTTGTTGCCATAACCCTCTTGATAAAACAATTGCACATAGGCATTGCAGAGGCAATTGATTTAAGGTACAGTAATTGTTTTATGTCCTTTGGAAGTGGCGCACATATAATATCACTTGATGGTGTAGGATCAGTTGCTTGGTTAGAAAATGACCTTGCAATCTACAAAATGGACACCTCTGTGCCTTGGTTTCCTTATATGCAAATGGTGGAAATACTTATTTATGCCACTGAGTAGTATGCATAAATTCAGTAAAGATGTTTTCATAATGCTTTTAAAGAAAATTTAAATATTTTAGCTGATAGATGATGAAAATATTTCAGTGTAAAACACAAGGAAAAAAATGTCAGGATATTCCATGGCATGTCAGAATGGTTGATTTACATTGAATTTTGCTTTGGAGATGTATGGCTCTAAATTGAAAAATGTTTCTCATCCATCAAGAATTTTTAATAATTGTAAATTTAATAAACATTATAGTTAGTACCTATATATAGTTGTAAATGTAAGTATCATTTATATTGATGATAAAAGTTATACGACTTGGTAATAAACAAATACAATCTTGAATTAAGTTTGTAAAAAAATTTTTACAAAAAACGTTAAGGCCCTTTTTATTGAAAAATTTGCAGATAACATGATCCATAGTACATACTTGTGATCATTTGTAAGGTATGATACAGAGTTTTATTATTCAGGCTTGTAAATAAACACATATTTAGACATAATGTGGTAATCTGTAATATTACATTTAATTATACATTTTGCTTTATTTTCAGAATAGGTTAAGCTATCCATTTCCAAGTGTTTGGTTTTCATTATGAAAGAAATGGTATTAGTAGCTTTTGATTTCCTTATTGGAGTATTATTAACTCAGTTTATTTTTATAGTGAAAGCTACTATGAGAATATTACGTTATTATGACTTCTACCAAAGTTGTATTTTACCAGAGCTTAGTGGGGAAACTTCATATAGATGATAAGTTTATTGAAATGTCATTAAAATTACTATTGTATAGTTTGTTTGTTTTTTTTGAGAATGAATTTGATTACATTTTTAGTGTTTTCTCAAATGACCAACTTAAAATTCAGCTGTCATTGTCTCTTGGGTAAATACAGCTAATTAAAGGTTCTTCTAAGTTCCTTGAAGACAGGAACTAAGCTAATGTTTATTGTCATAAATCCAAAATTGCTAGCATAGGGTTTAGCAAATAGTAGGGACTTGTTTTTGTTGTTGCTGGACAAATAAAATGAATGAGTGAAGGGTATCCATTGATATGATATACTGAGTAGAAATTTTAAAAAATAGATTTATCAAACAAATTTTAACTCATGAAACATAGTTTTATCTCAGGAGAAAAGACAAAATGTTTGGAAAGTGCTTTGAACTTTATTTATCTGTTCAAATAGAATTCCTTTACCCACACATTTTTGGAAAGAGCACTAAATACTGCATAATATATATGAGGTCAACCTTTCATTTATAAAATGATTAATTTTCTTACCTCTTATAGGTCACTACATGAAAAAGTACAGTAAAGGTTTTTTGTTGTTGTTTTCCTAAATTAGATGAGTATAGAAATGTGTTTGATTCTTTTTTACTTCAGTTTTTTAGTGAAATATTATTTAAAAAGATGTAAGTAAATTACAGCCTGTGCTAAATGTGCCTGAATACTGAGTTTTAAAAATAAATGACTTCTGAGGTGGAGTTTTTTTATAACGTAAAGACTCTTGTATTTTTAACTCATCATATTTACTTTATAATTTTCAGTCTTTGTGTATTGCTGGTTCCTAATTTAGCATGAGATCTATATTTTAAAACTTGGAAAAATGGTTTAGAACTTGGAACTTTCTGAAAAACAGTATGCTTAGTGGTTAGATTCACAGACAGCCTACCAAATTCAACCCATAATATACTTAGATTATAAGATTAGGCTAATAATACCAGAGAACTAAAGAATATTAATAATAATTAGGATAAATACTATATCGAAAATACCTACACTATGTACAATAATTTTTCTTTGGGATTTTTCCTTGAAATGCTAGGAATACATTTCTCTTGTGTTAGACATGACAACATTATTAGGAACTTGTCCTCTAACATCCACTGGACGTGAAGAAGAGGGTCTTCCTCAGTTCAGTGAGCCTTAACATTATATGGGGCAAGAGGTGAGAGAATGAGAGAAATTAGAAGGAGCTAGGGTCTTCTATGTGATGTTTGACAGGTCATTTTACCTTTCAGGGTCTTTGGTTTTCTCTGTTATAAAAGGAGAAGGTTGACATAGACCTCTCTGAGATGCCTTTCAGTTACAAATAAAATTCAAAGGCACTTCAGTGCCCAGTGTAACCACTTTTTTCTGAGAGTTCATTTTTCCTTTCTAATGTTCCTGCTTTATATACCTTCTCTCATGGAATTTCTTCTTTCTAGATCTACTTCTGAAAAGATTATAGTCTTTTTTTTTTTTATCATTTAAAAATATTTTTTT